CAATGGCTGCTGCAGCCAGCGCACTGTGCTGATCCGAAGCCAGGAGCCAGGTGCTTCTGGTCTCCCATGCGGATGCAGGGCCCAATGACTTGGGCCATCCTCCACTGTACTCCTGGGCCATAGCAGAGAGCTGGACTGGAAGAGGAGTGACCGGGACAGAATCCAGCGCCCCAACTGGGACTAGAACCCAGGGTGCTGGCCCTGCAGGTGGAAGATTAGCCTATTGAGCCGCGGCGCTGGCCAATCAGCTACATTTTGATAGCCACATGAGGCTCGTGGCCACCATATTGGACAGTGGAGACAGAACATTGTAGACAGTTATTTTGGGTGGCACTGATCCAGAGAGCTGAAAAGAATCCAGCTGACGTCACTCAGTGCATGGCATGGTGACTCAGGAAAAACAGATGAAGCTAGCCTTAGCGAATTTGCTGCTGGTTGCGATGCTTGGTTTGCTTTTCTTTTCTTTTCTAATAGATGCTGACACTCTGCTGCCTTCTGGCATTTGTAGTCATTCACAAAATTCAGGGGAAAAGCCAGCCTCCCAGGGCCCACATACCCCTGGGCTGCTTTTGCCTGTTTCCTTGGCACGGTCAAGTGTCCTAGATGACTTTCTGACCGACAGACGCCCTGGGTGAGGAAATGGTGCTTGTCAGGGCCGTGAGACGGGTGGATTCCACCAGCAAGTAAGGCTCTGTCCCTGGATGAAACCCCAGCACTCAGGATGTGGCCCAGCGCTGGGGCAGGAAGGGAAGTCGTAGTCCAGGTGTCCTTTTCGTAGCTTTTTTTTTTTTTTTTTTTAAGATTTGTTTGTTTATTTGAAAGGCAGAGTTACAGAGAGGCAGAGGTGGAGAGAGAAAGAGAGGTCTTCCTTCCATCTGCCATCTGCTGGTTCACTCTCCAAATGGCTGCAGTGGCTGGAGCTGGGCTGATCAGGCCAGAAGCCAGGAGCTTCTTCCAGGTCTCCCACGTGAGACTTGGGCCATCTTCTGCTGCTTTCCCAGGCCATAGCAGAGAGCCAGATAGGAAGTAGAGCAGCTGGGACTCGAACCAGCACCCATATGGGATGCCAGCACTGCAGGTGGCAGCTTTACCCACTACGCCACAGCACCAGCCCCATCTTTTCCCCAGCTTACCATCTCCTGGATGCACTGCACTGTAGTGGCCTCCACCAGCCATTCCTCCCACGCCCAAATTCCAGGGACCCACCATCAAGTCACTGTATTTTATAATTATTCAAGATCTTTCGTACATATTCAGATCTTTGGCTTTTCTCTGCTTACCCCTCAAATCTGATGGGAAAACAGTGATGAGAAGACAGAGCTGGTGTCTTTCTGTGCTGCTTTCCCATAAAAGGGAGTTTTTTTTTTGTTTGTTTTTTTTTTTTTTTAGCTGAGCTAGGAGAAAATTGTCCTCAGAGTTGAGGGTGCTCCCTCAACAGCACCCCTGTTTCTCTGAACCCCCAGAAAGGGGCCTGCAATAAGCAGTGTGGGAAGAACTTTGTCAGGAGCAGGTATTGAGGTACAACAGGTTTAGACACTGCTTGGGATTGCCCCCATGTCCTGTATTGGAGCCCTGTTTGAGTTCCATCTGCTCTGCTTCTTTTTTTATTTTATTTTATTTTTATTTTATTTTATTTTTTTTTTGACAGGCAGAGTGGTCAGTGAGAGAGAGAGACAGAGAGAAAGGTCTTCCTTTGCCGTTGGTTCACCCTCCAATGGCCGCCGCGGTCGGCGCGCTGCGGCCAGCGCACCGCGCTGATCCGATGGCAGGAGCCAGGAGCCAGGTGCTTTTCCTGATCTCCCATGGGGTGCAGGGCCCAAGCACCTGGGCCATCCTCCACTGCACTCCCTGGCCACAGCAGAGGGCTGGCCTGGAAGAGGGGCAACCGGGACAGAATCCGGCGCCCCGACCGGGACTAGAACCCGGTGTGCCGGCGCCGCTAGGCGGAGGATTAGCCTAGTGAGCCGCGGCGCTGGCCCTGCTCTGCTTCTGATCCAGCTCCCTGCTAATGTGCCTGGAAGGCAGTGGATGATGGGCTAAGTGCCAGGGCCCCTGCCACCTACATGAGAGACCAGGATGGAGCTCCTGACTCCTGGCTTCAGCCTGGCTCAGCCCTGGCTGTTATGGCTATCAGGGGAGTGAACCAGTGGATGGATAATCTCTCTCTGTCTCTCTCTCTCTGCCTTTCAGACAAATAAATGAAATCAATACAAAGAGAATTCTGTGCGCCCAGGGTATGCATGCTGAGGCTGCTTGGGGTAGACTGGGTATGGAAATAGCAAGATGGCACTTCACTCACGAACACATTCCTGCACTTAGAATGTTGCTGATCCTGGGATTTCACACCTGCCGTGCGTGAGCCACAGATATTTTGATTGTTTGTCATTTTGAAATAGCCCTGTGTTTTAGTGATCAAAACCCAAGTATGAGCATATATAGGTTTCATTTTTTTGCACCCAAATAAACCTTTTAATTCCATCCTTCCACAAACTTTCCTGAGTGTGCCTATCTTTATGTGGCACCACAGTTCACAAAATACATGCTCAAGCATTTTATTTAATCTGATACTCATGCTAAACCTGTGAGCTGGGCCAAGACATTTGCAGAAGAGGAAACTTGGGTTCAGAGAGGTGAAGTGGCTTGCTTAAGGTCACACAGCTAGTTGATGGCAGAGCTGAATTTTGAATCCCAGGCTAGAACATTTCTAGAACACTGCTTTACTTCTCACTTATGTGTTGGGCTCATAAAACAAAACACACATAAGTTAGATAATGGGTGACAGAAATACAGGGGTTGGCTCAGGAGATAAGATCTGCTGAGTGCATGTAGTGTGGAGGGTTGAGGGGCATGGGCCTGCCCTCAGGGAGCTTTCTCGGACACAGCTGGAGACTTCTGTCTAAGCATTAACAAATGCACATTGTTCGGAAACAAACGGGTGCTGAATAATTGACAGGATCCTTCATGAAAGTCTTGCTATAAGAAAGGGGTTCCGATCAGATCCTGAAGGACAGAGCAGATCCTAAGGGAAGGGCATTCCGGCCAGACGAGGGGCACGGCGCTGAAAGGAGGGGGCTGTGGGGACGTAGCATCGGCTTGGTGGAATATTAAGACACAGGCACAGGGCACTTATCTATTATTTATTGGAAATCTACCCTGCAGACACTGTGTAGAGCTGGGGTTACAGTGGTGAGCACACAAGGCTCCCTCCCTGCTTTCATTTTGCTTGGACTTTGGGAGAGACCAAATGTGGTTTGTTGGTAATAAAATAATTGCACAGACGGGCCAGACTGGCACTGTTGCCATGAAGAAAAAGGACAGGATGCTATGAGGGTATATACCAGAGCACGGTAATTTAGAATGACGTCTGAGCACGTGTGTGAAGGAGCAAGTGTTACCTAAGCAAATATTTTCAGTGTAGGACTGCTCAGGACAAGGGGTAGGGCATGTGCAAAGGCCCTGAGGGATTTGGAGGACCTAGATAAAGCCTGTGCAGTGGAGTTGGGAGCATGGAGCTGCATGAGAGGAGGCTGGGAGGAGGCACACACCTGATCAGACTTTGGACTTCATTCTAAAAGCCCTCTGAAGCCTGCCAGGTATTACAAGCATGGAGGACACGATCAGACTTTCCTTCTAAGAAGGTCTTTTTGGTGGTGGGTGTTTTCGAGGGGGGTATTAGAGGTCTTGGAGCCACCTCTTAGGAGCTGCTTCAGGGACCCAGGCTAGCTTGCTGCTGGGTGGGGGCGGTAGAGATGTGGATGAGGGAAAGGGGACAGTTCCCACTGGGATTTAGGAGCATGAATCTGTAGGACTCAGAGACCTGTTAGGTGGTGGAAGGGTAGGTGGTAAGGATGGTCCTTGAGTTCTGGGTGCTCCAGTGGGTTGCGTAGTGGAGCTGGCCTCTGAGACAGGGACACGGTTTGGAGAAGATGATGATGAAATCAGCTTTGGATCCCAGGCAGTCAGTTGGGTCTGTGGGTTGGGAGCTGAAGTTGAATTCAGTGTGTAGGTCATTGGTGTGTGATTGGTAAGGGAAGTTCTGGGTGCAGGTGTATTTTCATAAAGAGCATGAATTGAGGGATGAAGAACCAAGCAGCGAGGATGCTCCCTGGTCAGACGGAAGAGAAGGAGCTGCCCCAGAGGTGATAGTGGGGAGGCCACACACAGGATGCTTGAGCGTTAAACCACTGTGTTGAGTAAACATGCATTTTCAAGGGGCGTGGCAGTATCTTTCCATCCATCTCTACACCTGTGTCATTATCACACCCCCAGACCTGTTACGGGGCAGCTGTGTATCTCTGGGACCCAGGCACTTGTGTAGTGTCCTGCTGCAAAGTACAGTCAGCCCACTGGATCTGAGAGCACCAAGTCTGCAGATTCGACCAGCCACAGATTGAAAACACGGTGTTTGGAAAAAGGATTGCATTTGTACCGAACGCATACAGACTCGCTTAGGAAGAAGTACTGGGTGAGGACTGTGCACGTAGCATTCACGTGGTATTAGGTGTGCAAGGAAGCTAGAGATGATTTAGACTCTACAGCAGGATGGGGGGAGGGGAGGTGTTCTGCTCGTACGTTGCTGTTTCGTGTAAGGAGCTGGAGCATTTGTAGGTTTGAGAAACTCAGTGGGGGATCCTGGAACAGCTGACTGCCAAGGGACAGCTGTAGGCTTATTTCTTGTTATTGGTGAGACCGATTGCACCGTGTGTGTCTTCTGCTGGGAATAGCGATCTTTCCTTTCTCCTACACCACTGCACTTTTGGCTGCCGCTGTGGTTTGTTGCGAATCTGAGCTTATTTAATCCCACAGAGTACTAAACAATGTCTGGTCTCCGTGGCTCTCGCCCTGTTCCCGATACCCCGCCCTCACTTGCCAGCTGGGATCTCTTAATGAGCCGACTGCCCGCAGATGAGCAGCACAGCTCTTTCAGCCGGTGGCACAGGTTTGCAGAGCTGGCCATTGGAATGTTCCACGGCAGCCTCTCACGGGCATTCTCGTTTCAGGATGGCTGTAGCTCCTCCAAGTTACTGTTTTGTGGCCTTCCCACCGCGAGCTAAGGATGGTCTGGTGGTGTTTGGGAAAAACTCGGCGCGGCCCAGAGATGAAGTGCAGGAGGTGGTGTACTTCTCAGCCGCTGACCATGAACCTGAGAGCAAGGTCGAGGTAAGTGATGCATGGTAGCCACCTCCCCGGCTTTGCCGCCAGCCCCTGTGTCTGCCGTTCCTCCTCCTCTTCCTCCTTGTCTTTTTAAAGATTTATTTATTTTTATGGTAGAATGAGAGTGAGTGAGTGAGTGAGAGAGAGAGAGATGAAGAGATCTTATCCACTGGTTCATTCCCCAAAAGGCTGCAACAACTGGTGCTGCTGGGCCAGCCTGGGACTTGAACCCTGCACTCCCGTATGGGATGCTGGTGTTATGGGCAGTGTCTAAACCTGCTGCACCGCAATGCTGACCCCAAGCTGTGACTTCTTTCTTTCAATTTTGACAGGCAGAGTGGACAGTGAGAGAGAGAGAAAGAGAGAAAGGTCTTCCTTTGCCGTTGGTTCACCCTCCAATGGCCGCCGCGGCCGGCGCACTGCACTGATCCGAAGGCAGGAGCCAGGTGCTTTTCCTGGTCTCCCATGGGGTGCAGGGCCCAAGCACTTGGGCTATCCTCCACTGCCTTCCTGGGCCACAGCAGAGAGCTGGACTGGAAGAGGGGCAACCAACCGGGACAGAATCTGGCGCCCCGACTGGGACTAGAACCCGGTGTGCCGGCGCTGCAGGTGGAGGATTAGCCTAGTGTGCCGCGGTGCCAGCCGTGACTTCTTTCTTCAGAGCCTGCCTATCAATCTTAATTATCTCATCATTTCTGCTGGTTCTTGTTTCTGTTCAAGTTCATAGTTTCTGTTTTTAAAGATTTATTTATTTATTTGAAAGGCATAGTTACAGAGGGAGAGAGAGAGAAACAGAGGCAAAGAGAGATCTTCCATCTGCTGGTTCACTCCCCAAGTGGCTGCAACGGCCAGGGCTGGGCCAGGCCAAAGTCAGGGGCCAGCGGTCTCCCATACAGGTGGCAGGAACCCAAGCTCTTGGGCCATCCTCCACTGCTTTCCCAGGTGCATTAGTAAGGAACTGGATTGGAAGCCGAGCAGCCTGGGTATGAAGAGGCACTCATCTGGGATGCTGGTGTCACAGGTGGCAGCTTAACCCACAAGGCCATGATGCCAACTCCCTGTTCCTAGTTTTAAAAGTGAAGCCATATGGAGAACTCCATGGTCACTGTTATGGCCCTTGTTTATACTTAAGTAAAATACTGATGTAGTTCCAAAGTCAAATCTACAAAATGGCATAAATTTTATAGAAATCTAGCTTCCACACCTGTCTCCTTTATTCCATTTTTTTCTTCTCTCTTATTGGTAGCCACGTTTTGGACATCTTTGGTTTATCCTCCTGTTAAAAAAAATTGCATTTGTAGGTAATAAATTACACATACACACACATGCATGCATGTTCACCCAAGTGCTCTTCCTCCTTTCTTATTCACAGTAGCCTGCCATATACTCTTTTCTCCACTTTGCTTTGTTTTTCTGAAGGTTTTTATTTAGTTTATTTTCACTTTACTTGAAAAACACACACATGGTGGGGGTTAGGAGAGAGAGGACACACACACACACACCCACACACGAGACAGACAGACAAAGAGATTTGCAATCTGCTGGTTCTTCCCAGATGTCCACAGCAGCAGTGACCGGACCGGGCCAGAATGGAGCTCTCATGTTGGGTGGTAGGAACTCAACCCCTGAGCTGTCACCTGCTGCCCAGGGTGCACGTTGGCAGGAAGCTGAATCAGAGCAGAGCAGAACTCGAGCCCTGGTACTCCCATGTGGGATATGGGTGTCCTAAGCAGCATCTTGACTGCTGAGCCAAACGCTCACCCCGCAGTACATTTTTCAACTGAAAACGTATCTTGCAGATCACTGCATACAGTGCATACAGATACTTGTCCTTCCTGTTGAGGGATGTGTAGTATTCCTTCTCTGGGTGTGCCGTGGCCTACCCAGTTCATGTTGCTGGAGGGCGTTTGGGTGGCTTCCCAGTCTTTTGCTGTTAGAAACGGTGCTGAAGGCAGTAATATCCTTGTGCATCGATCACGGTATCTGGTCTTAGATTATGTATTTTTATCATTTTAAAAGTTATTCATTGATTTCTATTTTAAGTACTTTAAAAAGAATATTTTTGGGGCTGGTGTTGTGGTGTGGCCACCTGTGATGCCAGCATCGCATATGGGCACCGGTTCAAGTCCCAGCTGCTCCATTTTCCAACCCAGTGCCCTGCTAGTGTGCCTGGGAAAACAATGGAGGATGGCCCAAGTGCTTAGGCCCCTGCACTCATGTGGGAGACCTAGAGGAAACTCCTGGCTCCTGGCTTCAGCCTGGCCCAGCCCTGGGAGTAGCAGATATTTGGGGGAGTGAACCAGTGGTTTGGAGACCTCTCTGTCTCTCTGTAAGTCTGCTTGTCAAATATATAAATACATCTTTTAAAAAATGTTATATTTGTCAGTACTTCTTTGGGGTGGATGCCTTGGAATGGGATTGTTGGGTTCATCAGTATGTACTCTGGTAGACACTGCCAGTTTCCTTCCGTTGGGGGTGTCCTGTTGTAGTCTCATCAGCCACGTACAGTGCCTCTCTCTCTACCATCAGAGTGTTTTGTCCAATTTTCTTGATATTTTATTTTTTTTTGACAGGCAGAGTTAGTGAGAGAGACAGAGAGAAAGGTCTTCCTTTTGCCGTTGGTTCATCCCCCAAATGGCCGCTGCGGCTGGTGGCTGCGCTGATCCGAAGCCAGGAGCCAGGTGCTTCTCCTGGTCTCCCATGCGGGTACAGGGCCCAAGCACTTGGGCCATCCTCCACTGCCCTCCCGGGCCACAGCAGAGAGCTGGACTGGAAGAGGGGCAACCGGGACAGAATCCAGTGCTGCAACTGGGACCAGAACCCGGGGTGCCGGTGCCGCAGGCAGAGGACTAGCCAAATGAGCTGTGACACTGGCCCTTGATAGATATTTTATATGTTAATTTTACATTCTGCTGTGTTGCTAAATTCTTTTCTTGATTGTGTTCACTTTTTTTTTTTTAAAGATTTTATTTATGTGAGAGGCAAAGTTACAGACAGAGAGAGAGACATAAAGAAAAGTCTTCCATCAGCTGGTTCACTCCCCAAATGGCCACAATGGCTGGAGCTGGGCTGATCTGAGGCAAGGAGCCAGGAGCAGTGGACATTCTAGGAGTGAATCAATAGGTAGGAGCATTTTCTCTCTCCTCACTCTCTCTCTCTCTTTATTTATTTGAAAGTCAGAGTTACAGATTGAGAGCGAGAGAGGGAGAGACAGAGAGCTCTTTCGTCTGTTGGCTCACTCCCTAAATGGTTGCAACTGCTGGGGCAGGGCCAGGCTGAAGCCAGGAGCCAGGCGCTTCCTCCGGGTTTCCCACATGGGTGCAGGGACCCAAGCACTTGGCCATCTTCCCAGGCCATTAGCAGAGAGCTGGATCAGAAGTGGAGCAGCTGGGACTCAAACTGGTGCCCTGAATAGGATGCCAACATCACAAGTGGCAGCTTTTACTTGCCATGCCACAGCGCCGGCCCATGAGCTCGCTCTCTTACTCAAATAGATAATGGAAAAGGTTTAAAAATTTATAAAAGCATATGCCTGAATCTCTGTTTTGAGCATTTTAGGAAAACAACAACTCAGGAATAGGTATTAAATTTTGTCAAAGGTCTTGTCAGTGATTATAGAGATCATCACATAATTTTTCTTTCTGTTTGGACAGTTAAACCCTCTTTGCTTTGTGAAATAACTGTCTCAGTTCAGTTGTGATTTTTTTAAAGATTTATTTATTTATTTGAAAGTCAGAGTTACACAGAGAGAAGGAGAGGCAGAGAGGTCTTCCATCCGCTGGTTCACTCCCCAATTGGCTGCAACAGCTGGAGCTGTGCCAATCCAAAGCCAGGAGCTTCTTCCTGGTCTCCTACGTGGGTGCAGGGGCCCAAGGACTTGGGCCATCTTCTACTGCTTTCCCAGGCCATAGCAGAGAGCTGGATCAGAAGCAGAGCAGCTGGGAGTTGAACCAGCACCTATATGGGATGCAGGCACTGCAGGCGGCAGCTTTACCCACTGCGCCACAGCGCTGTCCCCGATATATTTATTTTTAAGGGTGGATGCGTGTTTAAATGGTATTTGTTCAAGGATGAGGAATTTAGAGGAACAAAAATTGGGGCTGATAAAAGAACAAGCTCTTTACAATCAGCCGGTTTCTCTGGCAACCGTGCTTTGGTTTGAAGCGAGTACTTACTCAGGTGTCTTTTATTTCCTTATCTGAATCTTGAATCACTGGTTCTGTTTCAGTCCTTAAAATTCACTCCTGAGCCCCAAAGGGCACCAGGGCCCTGGGAGGAGCTGCTTGCTGCAGATGCACTTGACCCAGGTGGTGGAATGCACAGCAGAGCTGAGCTGAGCTTGGCCTCCGCTGTGTGTGGGCTGGGCAGGGACCGCCGTCTCCCACAGGGCATTCACTGTGAGTTCACCGTGAGCCAGACCTCGGAGGCCCTTTCCTGTCGTGTAGGTGAGGGAGAGGGCTGGGCTCGCCACTTTTCTCTCTCTAAAGCAGGGTGGACTTGGTGTGGATGGAGTTGCTCGGCCTGAGTTGCTCCCTTGATTCTCACACGGGCAGAATTAAATTCCCAGAGGTGGCTACACACAGTGCCATCCCACGTGCACTTCTGCATAGGAATGGGGCCTGAGTCCCGCACCCTGGCTCTGAGGCTCGCTGAGGGCCTGTGGTTGCTCTGACCAGTGGAGCATGGCAGAAGAGGGGTGCGTGACTTCCAGTGCTGGACGTAAAAGAGCAGAGCTTCTGCCTGTCCATCTGTCTGTCTGTCTCAACTCCCAAGAGCCCAGGTGTCCATCAGGCTGGGAGGAACTCAGACCACGTTCAGTGAGCACAGGGATCAGATTTCTTCTAAAGCAGGACTGGGATCCCCCCTGGCCCAGAGCCAGTCTCAGCTGCAGGCGCGTGCACGTCTGACCTTTGGGGTGGCCCCAGACTCAACACAGGAACGCGGACTCCATCCCTGCTCCTGGCCATCCCCATGCCTGTTCCCTTGTGTTTGTGAGCATCACATTT